GCTTGGAGCAACGTGGTCTAGTGGAAGGTGTCCCTGCTGATGGCAGGGGGGTTGGAACTGGATGATCTTTAAGGTCCTTTCCAACCCAAACCAGTCTGGGATTCTGTCACTCCTTGGGTGAATCTGGCAACTTGCTTCATTCCCCCAAATTCTGATAAATTTGGGTTACACAAAGTGATACTAGTAAATCTTTCTTTGGCATGACCTTTGTAAAGAATCCTGTTCCCCATCTTAAAATTTAATGTCCTAAGGTTTTTTCAGGTCTACACCCTTGTGTTCAGCATAAGGACATTTTGCCTTGTGTGGTTTATATGAGGGGGGAATAAGTGTCTGTGACTCCAGTGAAGGTTTTGAGTTTGGATTAAACCCTGAGTGAGTCACACCATTAAACACTTCAGAGTAGAAAGCAGTTCAACTGTTAAGCCCTTTCAGAAACAGCTTATGCTTTGGCCAACGACTCATGTGTCAGGTTCAGCCTGGAGGAATTTAGAAGAGGTTGTTTGTGACCCGTGAGGTGAGGAAGGTGACATGTGAGGTGGCTGCTGTGCCCCAAGCCCTGCCGGTATGTCCTTGCTGCCCTCGCCTCTCCTCTCGTGTCTTAGTGCTGGAGCCAGTCTTTCTCCTGACAAAGATGCTCAGCTGTCATTCTGATGCAAAAAATAAATTAAAAAAAATACAGATTCTACCGTAGTCATAGGTAAAAAACATCTTTGTCTTCCAGAATCACTTTGCTGCAGTTGTCCAGCTTGCCACTTTAGTACTTTGAATTCAGACAACAGCCCAAACTATCCGTCGCTCATAATATGTAGAATATACAGAATATGATTGACTGCAATGTCTGAAGGATATTTTTGAGAGATAGTCTTAAAGTATCAGTGGAAAATTTCTCACAGTGCTCAGAAATCTGGAAATGAGAGTCGTTTTTTTTTTTTTAATTAGAAGGTTTTATAAAAACTGTGGATCTGTGTCACCACCTTTTCCTTTCTCTGCTAGCCCACACTCTGCTCTTCCTGTCTTGCACAAGGACTTGCTCCTTTCCCTCCTTAAGAGCAGTGTGTCTGATTTATCCTGCAGGGCTTAAATTAAGAGGAAACTCAGCAGTAGGGGAAGAAGTGATAGATTTGAAAGCAATTCTCAGGCTCTTCTGTCCTGGCTCATTAGACAGCTTGCCTTTTTTTTCCCCCTTTTTTTTTTTCCTTATTAAAAATGCAGTTGCTACAGAGCAGCAGAAACACCACCTTGCTCTCGGCTGTTGGTGCTCAGCGTGCTGCTGCCCGCCTGTCCCTGGCAGCGCCGCTGGGCTTGGGGTGCTCCCAGCTGCCCCGGGGATCCGGGCGTGTGTCCCCACAGGCCACCCCGCTCTGCCAGCCCAGGTGGCTGGTGCTGCTCATGGTGATGTTAGCTCTGATGCTGCTCCATAAAACGTAAAGAAATCTCAGCAGCAGTGGTGTAAAATGGAAATGCTTCCCCCACGCACGCCACACGCCACTGGGGAAGCAGGTTTTCTGGCTTCCAAGAAGTGCTAAAGCATCATGGTTCCAACCCGGGTTTTCCCCTTGTGAAATCTCGGTGTAAAGCTGCCTGGTTTGTAGCCACAGCAGTTCTCAGTCCAGTGTCGTGTTGTTTGCGATCACAGGTGAGCATGGGCTGTCAAAATGGCAGTGGCCTGATCCCTCTGCATCTCGGGTACGAATAAGCTGGGTGCCAATTTAATTTGCTAAGTATATGCTCTTGTAAACACACCTCAGTCAACTGAGAAAAGGAAAATGTCTGAGGTTAAAATATGAACTAATTAATCCTGGCGACTTGTGAGCCTTTGTTTCTGTAAGTAAGAACAGTTACACAATTGTGCCTTTTAAAGAACGAAAAGCTTCATTTCTAGGGCAGCGGAAGGAAGTGCTCCCAGCCCCACCAACCATCCAGGGCAGGCAAAATAGATGACGATGGTGTGGTCTTCGGCAAAACTCCCATTTTGTTCTTTTACACCATCTAAAGAGGCTGAAGCATGTGTCTGAGCTGCTTGTTGTAGGGGTCTCCACATGTTGATGAAGTCCAAGCAGCCCAGGAGGCTTTTGCTGACCTGTGGGGAGGATGAGATGGGCTCCACAGACTCCCTGCCAGGGTCATCTTGCAGCCTGGAGATTATGGCAAATGCTCTTGAATTTCACTAGGAAAACCAGAGTAGTTGAATGTGACGTTCCTCACATTTCATATCTAAAAACATAAGCATTTCCATGCGGCCAATGTGCAGCCCACAGAGATGGCTAAAGGACATCCTTTGTCAACTTTAAAGAAAAGTCTGTAAAATTAGGCAGAAGAGCAAACAAGTAGAAAAAATCATGTGCTTGCTTTTTTGAGGTGATATTGTTTTAATTTCTCCCTAGAGAAAAGGGAAGGGTGGTACAGGCCAGTGGGGATCCTGGGCAACCAAACCTGAAAGGAGGATGGAGAGAGGTGGGGATGGGTCTGTTCAACCAAGGAACAAGTGACAGGACAAGAGGAAATGGCCTCAAGTTGTGGCCAGGGCAGTTGAGATTGGATGTGAGGAAGAATTTCTTTGCTGAAAGGGTTCTGAGGCATTGGAAGGGGTTGGCCAGGGCAGTGGTGGAGTCCCCATCCCTGGAGGGATTGAAGAGTCGTGTAGACACAGTGCTGAGGGACATGGATTAGTCGGGGACTTGTCAGTGTGAGGTTAATGATGGAACTTGATGATTTTCAAGATCTTTTCTGATCAAGACAATTCTGGGATTCTGGGGGTCACTCCCCAGGAGTGGTCATTGGAGGTAGTGAGCAGCTGTGGCTGTAAAAAGCAGCAGTACCTGAGCTGTGATGACCTTCATACCTGGAAATGAGATCCTGCATGTGTTCATCTCTCAGATAACGATCCTCAGAAAACCAAACCATGAAGTAAATAGCCATGTGGTGATACATCCAGCCACGGGTGTGCCTATGTTGCCTGAAATATTAACGCTGTCACACAGCACAGGGTAGCGCAGGCATCTCTCTTTGGAAGTGAGTCTTTGTCTACTTGACACTGGATTTAAGGTGAGTGCCCTAGTTCATACATGCTGCTCATCTCTTACGTAAAAGATTTTATAATTGCTCTTGATACAAGCATAAAATAAATCTAGAATTCTGAATACCCTAGAAGTGCAGTGCCTTTATTTTAATTTTGTCCATTCACTACTAATAATGCCTTATTTTGGATTATAGGACAGAAAACTCACAAAAGTAGAGAGGCAGAGATTTAAAGAGGAAGCAGAAATGTTGAAAGGTCTACAGCATCCCAACATTGTGAGATTTTATGACTTCTGGGAATCCTGTGTGAAAGGCAAAAGATGCATCGTGCTGGTTACCGAATTGATGACCTCTGGAACACTAAAGACGTAAGTACTGTGCTCCTGGTGAGGAGGCTAAGAATAGCGATGGAAATTTTTAGAGAAATCCTACTTTCATATTCTGAAAAAAAGGCACCTCCAGATAAAATAAAAAAAAATGGAGCTGTTCTCTGGTGTCTGTCATTTGTCCCTGTGTTTGAACTGCATTGATTTGACAGGAAGAATTTTGGCCTCCATCTCTCTTTCCCCGCTCTCCTCTTTCAGTTATGCAATGAGAAGCGGCTCTTTGCTGTGTTTCATCTTCTGCCTGTGACGTTTTAATTTGTCAGGGTGTGTTTTTGTGCTTGTGTTTGCGTGTTTTGTTAGAAAATTCTAGTAGAATAGCACTTGAATGGTAAGATCTCTTTTTGAAGCAGAAGGTACTCTAGGTTATCTACTAAACAATACAAATTAATAGCTTTTGGTGCTGACGGTCCTGTTAAGGTTGATCTAAAACAGTTGGCATGAATTCTGGAACAGATTTGCAGCCCCAATGGGAGCAGTACTCATCCCTGCATATATCCAGTGTGCTACTCTGCCAGAGCATTAGCAGGTTTTACATTTTCCCAAATTGTACCCTCCCAATCAGTGTTTTAGGTAAATGGAAAAAAATGCAGGTGCATGGCATAGAGGTCCAAGTCTTGTGGTTAAAATTAAACTTCAGTATTCTTCTGATTTGAATATATGAAACACATTCTAAAACTGTTCTCTGCATGAAGTGAATTGCTGTACTATTAGACTTGCAAATATTTGGTTGTATTTGCACCAAAAATGCTTATTATTTTCCTCCCTAAAAATGAATGCTCTAATTCCTCCTTTAAAAAGATCTATTTCTTTCAATTTTGTGATATTTCTGAGCTGCTATTATGGCATCTAATAAGGGGCTTTTATCCAGAACTCGGTTTCAGCTGTTGGAGTCCCTAGAATCTCTAATAATGCTTCATTTTCTTTGTACCCACTTCTGTGTTTGTTTGTGCTGTAGGTATCTGAAGAGATTTAAAGTGATGAAGCCAAAAGTCTTGCGTAGTTGGTGCCGGCAAATCCTGAAGGGTCTTCTTTTCTTGCACACAAGAACACCACCAATAATTCACAGAGACTTAAAATGTGATAATATTTTTATTACTGGACCAACTGGATCTGTGAAAATAGGAGACTTGGGTCTGGCAACCCTCAAGAGAGCTTCGTTTGCCAAAAGTGTAATAGGTAATCCTCCTGTTCTCCTTGGCTTCCTTCTGTTGGTATGGTGGTTGTCTCTTTAATATTTCTTTCACATTTTACATTAGTGGTTCTTTCACTTTTAGGTTGGTAGTAGAGATTAAAGTCGTTTTGTGACCATTCCCTTTATACCACTGTAAAAATCTCAGTCAGTAGGAAATGGTATCATAACTTCATCTTCTCCTTCTATATCACCATGGGAAAACACTTTTTTTGTTTGTTTGGGTTTTTTTTAATCGAAATATTTTTTGGTATCCACAAATTCTTCTCCTCGCTCCTTTGGCCAGACCCAAAGAGTTGTGGTAAATGGAGTTCCATCTCGTTGATGGGCAGTCACCAGTGGTGTTCCCCAGGGCTCAGTACTGGGGTGAGTCCTGTTTAACATCTTCATCAATGATCTGGACAAGGGGATCGAGTGCACCCTCAGTCAGTTTGCAGAGGACACCAAGTTGGGTGGAAGTGTTGATCTGCTTGAGGGTGGGGAGGCTCTGCAGAGGGATCTGGCCAGACTGGATGGATGGACTGGGGCCAATTGTATGAAGTTCAACAAGACCAAGTGCCGGGTTCTGCACTTTGGTCACAACAACCCCATGTTACAGGCTTGGGGAAGAGTGGCTGGAA